TGGTCAGCAGGGACTGTTCTGGTGCCCCTCCCTGGGTCTTGGTATCCAGCCTTCTCCCCTGAAGGCAGAGGATCCCATCGAACAGGATAAATTCTGCTTATTCACCGTCATGTTGTCTCATTTCTGAGCAGAGGGAGAAAAAAATTCCTTTCTCTGGAATTCCACATGTCAGAAATTATATGTCTGTATTAAGTTCCTGTGGCTGCCACAGCAGATACTTCTTTCATGATTCTGGAAGCCAGAAGTCTGAAAGCAGGATCCCTAAGCCATTCCTGCTCCCTCTCCTCAAGCTCTGAGGGATTACCTGTCTAATTCTGATAGGCCTGCATTCTCTGTCTTGTGACCACACCACTCTAGAGCCACTCTTGGTCGTTGTACCCACATTGTCTTTCCTTCTGTTCATGATGAAGCCTCCCTCCCCTGTTTCTTCTAAGGCTATTTGTGAGTACAGTTTGGACCTGCCCATGTGAACCAAGATAACCTCCCCATCTCAAAGCTCAGGTGTGCTGTCTCACATATGTAATCCCAACTACTTGGGAGGTGGAGATCATAAGAATTGCAGTTTCAAGGCCATGCTGGGAAAGAGTAAGACCACATCTGAAATCAGTAAACTGATTATGGTGATGCACTCCTGTGATCTCAGCTATGTGGGAGGCCATAGGTAGGAGGAGCTTGGTCTAAAGTCAGCCTGGGGCAGAAAGGCAAAAAAAAAAAAAACAACTGAGGGTATGACTCAAGTGGTAGAACACCTGCCTACCAAGCTCAAGGCCCTGAGTTCAAACTCCAGTACTGCAAAACAAACAAACAAACAGAAAACCTTCCCCATGTCACAGTCCTACTTCATGAGATTTGTATTCTACCAGAAAATGTAGACAGTTAATACTAATAAGTCAATTATTTAGTAAATTAGAACAAGATAAATACTGTGAGAAAAAAAGGAAAAGAGTATGATCATGTGACAAGAGCAGGATACAGTATTGAACAGGCTGATCAGAGTTGGCCTCATGGGAAAAGTGAGATTTGAATAAGGGAGAAAAGAAGTAAGCCAAATGCATATCTAGAGAGAGAACAAGCCAGGCTGAGGAAACAGCTCAAGATAAGGGCCTAAGGCAGCAAGGAGTGTGGCCATGGTACTGAGAATAGGGGAAGAGTGGTAGGAGACAAGATCAGAGAGAAAATTGAGGCCTGCAGGCCATTCAAGGACTCTGAACAAGATGGGAAGATATCGCATATATGGACAGGTTGGTCTTTGATGGAAAAATGGATATTTGCTCATTTTCTCAAGAGGCATAGAAGAGGATGTGAGGCACATACAGGTGGTTTTGTAGATTTGGGGGAAGGCAGATCTATGATCTCACTTAGCAAATATTTATTCAGCACCTGCTATGATAGGCATAATTCTAAGTGCTGTGAGACATGACAGTGAACAAAATAGGCAGCTCCCTATTCACACAGAGCTTACATTCTCCATATAATGATAAACAAGTACACGTGGGAGAGAATAAGCAATTATTAAGTTAATTTTATATAACAAATGCTTATGAAGAAAATAAAACAAGATGATGTAATGGAGAATGACTGGAGGAGGAAGCTCAATTAGATGAAAGACTCAGAGAAGACTTCTTCAAGGAGGTGCCATTTGAACGAAGGGATAAATGCAAACAAAGAGCTAGCCTTGGGAAAGGTCCAAACACTAAAAAAAGGTTTCTTGTATTCAAGGGTAGAACGAAAGCTAATATACTGTAGCAGGGTGAGTAAGGAAGAGCTAAGATGAGGTGAGAAATGGATGAGGCTTAGGCCCTGTAGCCTGTGGTTCAGTTTCATTCAGAAATGGTAAGAAGGCTTGGCAGGAGGAATGGTGTGATACAGTTAATGATTTAGGAGTGTCACTCTTGCCTCTCTGAGCAAAGGGCAAGAGTCAGATCTGGTCATAGACCACTGCAGTAGTCAAGAAGTAACAATTTGGACCTGGGTGTAATGGGTAGAGATAGGTAAGTGGGTGAATTTAGAATATGATTAGAGATTATGTTAATAGGACTTGCTGGTGAATTAGCTGAGAGACAGCCAAGAAAAAGAAATGAGTTAAGAATGACTCCAAAGGATGCTACCCAACTGGCAAGAGAGAGGATTGTTTGAAAAATAGGTGTTCCTCTAAAGAATGTGAGGATCTCGGCAAATGGGACTAAAAAAGAATAAAGAATGACTCTCAGCTTTCTTTGTGTGTGTGTTTTTTCTTTCATTCATATGCACATACAATATTTGGGTCATTTCTCCCTCCTTCCGCCCCCGCCCCTTCCCTCTCCCCCTGACTCTCAGCTTTGAGCTTGATCAGTGATATTAGCCTGCGCCTTGGCTTCCTCATCCTCACAGCCAAAATCCAGGTGCCTTTGCCACAGTCCTGTGTACCACTGGTGTATTCATTGCTTCTTTGAGTTCATCACTCTCCTGTCCTTCCAACAAATCTACTACAGCAGTACCCAAATTTGGGTTGAATCCATCCAACTACTCTTTTTTTCAGTAATGAGGTTGGAACTCAGGTCTTCACACTTTCTAGGCAGGCACTCTACCACTTGAACCATGCCTTAATTACTTTTCTTGATTCTGGGCTGCTTGACACCACTACCTTGGCAATATACAAGTGCAGTCCTTGTTACCACTGTGGCTTCATAGTCCACAGTCTCTGTGGACTGCTCAACACTTCAGCTATTCTTGTCCCTGGATGGCTTACTTTTGGACTGTTCCAAACCTTTATAAATCACTGCAGCCTACCTCCTATACACATACCCCAAGACCTCCAACCCCAGAGATGTCCCAGAGAAAAGTCTGTCTTCAAGCATCCTCTCAGGTTCTCCCTCTGCTGAGCTCACTTTTCAGAGCAGCTATTGCTACATCCTCCCTGCTTTTCCTAGAAAAAAGTTGTCCTAGCTTTTGTGTTCTCCCCTCATACTTTGCATCTATCCTCCCTCCATGGGACTTCATTCCACTGTCACCCTCTGTCTTCTATACTCTTCCTCCTCTCTGTCTCCTTCCTATCAAATACAGACATGTTGTTCTCCCTCATCCTGCTGCACTCTCCAGCTTCCATTCCACTTCTGACCTTTTCATCTATACCAAGTCTTTTTAGAAATAGTCACATCTTAGCCAGGCTACTCAGGATTGCAGTTTGAGGCCAGCCAGGGGGAAAAGTTAGGGAGACCCATCTCAGCAAAAGCTGGTGTGGTAGTACATGCCAGTAATGTGGGAGGCATAAGTAGGAGGATCACAGTCCAGCCCAGGCAAAAGTGGCACCCTATTTGAAAAATAACTTAAAGCACAAAGGGCTGGGTGGGTGGCTCAGATGATAGAGCACTTGTCTAACAAGTGTGAGGCCCTTATACCCCAGTACCACCACCATCCCCCCCCAAAAAAGTCTTGTCTTTTTCTTGAACACATTCTCACTTCTCTCCCGTCTCAATCCCTGTCATTCTGGTTCTGTTTTCTCTCTATTCCTGATAGTATGTTTCCCTAGAGGGCCAGTGACTTACATATTCCCAAAAGCAATGTTGGCAAATAAGAATGTGGATATAAATACTGCTGACCCATGAGGTCATTGCAAGGATTAAGTAAGATAATGCATGTGGAGCATTTAGCACAGTGCCTGGAACACAGGAAGAACTGTTTGCTGATATCACTTGTTACTGTGTGCTTATCATGTATTTCACAACTGCCTCTCTACTTGACTGCCTCACAAAGACAGGGACTGAGTTTGGAGTTTTGTTTTGGGTTTTCTTGTTTGTTTTGGGGTTTTTTTATTGTTTGTTTCTTTGGTTGGTTGGTTGGTTTGGTTTTTTGCAGTTCTGGGGATAGAACCTAGGGCCTTGTAAATGCTAACCAAGTGCTCTACACTGAGCTACACCTCAGCCCTTGAGAATAAGTTGTTTATTATCATATTCCCACGGTCTTGGGATAAGGTGGAGCTTGGCGTATATTGGAGAGATGGGTGGTACACTCGGGATCAATGGGATCATGCCTTGGTCTCTGGGCTATGTAGCCTCTGTAGACCACCTGGCCATCATTCATGTTCCCTCTGGGTAGGAGTGCCTTCCTCTTTGTAGCAGCTTATAGGCTTGCTTCATACTTCCTCTCTCTTTCTCTCCTCCTCCTCCACTCTAGGTATAGGCTGTCAGCAGAGTCAGCAGGAGCCCAGGCACTGCCCCTTGAAGGCCTCTGGCTCAGTCTTTCCTCTCCTCCTTCAGCACAGGCCTCCCTGCCTGTCATATGTGTCATGCATGTGGCTCCAGCCTGTCTTGACACAGATGTGGCCATAGTCCCTAAGTAGTCAGAGGGGCAGTGCTAGCAACATTTCAGACCTGAGAGGGAGTGATGGCTGTGAACATTGGAGACAGTGCTGGAAGCCTGGCCCTTTGGAGCAGGGAGATAAAGTATCCATGTGTAGCTGCATAGAGGCAGCTCCCAGATCTCCACAGGTGAGCAGGAATTCAGTCTGGAATGGCAATGGAAGTGGAGACTCTCACCCCAAGTTGCTCCTCCCTCTTGCAGCCCACAGGCATTCACCCAGCACATGCTGTGTACGAATGCCACACAGTCTGTAGGGAACCAGACAATGACATTAGTACATAGTAAGTGCTAAGAGAATAGGGTACACAAAGAACAGTGGTGTCCCAGGAGAGTTTGGCCTGCCCATTGTGGCTCAGGGAAGATGACAGAGAGGTAGAGGTGCTGGAGTCAGATCTTGTAGAATGAGCAGAAGTTCAGTGTGTGAATGAGAAGGGGAAGAGAATTTCAGGCAAAGGGAACAGTGGAGAGAAGGTGTTAAGAGCCCAGCAGATTCTAGAAAGTGTAAGTAGTTGAATAAACCAGAGCCTATGAGAGGGAGGGAGGAGAAGTAGCTGCAGTTGGTAGAAACCCATATGAAACCACAAGCAAAAAAGGAAATGTGTTAGTTTATGTAACTAAGCTCAGGAGCTGAACTTTTAGACCTATCTAAATCTAGGACTCACAGTGTCTTTCTTCCTGTAGCTCTTCTTTCCTCTGGATCTGATCTTCCTGCCAACAGCTTTGTCCAAGTAGCTGCAGAAGCTGGCTCCAGCACTTCTAAGCCTGGGATTGACAAGCTTTTTTTTCCAAAAGGGCTGAATATTAGGTATTTTCAGCTTTGTGAGTTGTCATAATCTGTCACAACGACACAACTCCGTTGTTGTAGTAGTACAAAAGCATTCATAGATATTGTAGAAATGAATGTGTATGGCCATGTTCCAATAAAACTTTATTTATAGGAACAGGCAGCTGGCCTATAAATAAGACTTTAGTTAACCCAAACCCTGTTCTAAGCTTTATAGTTCACTCTCTTAAAGGAAAAAGAGAGACTCCCACATCCCCCAGTGTCTGAATATGAAATCTGAAGAGAAAACCTTGATGCATCTTTCTTAGGTCGAGTGCCCATTCCTGAACCACTTACTGAGTGCAGTCTGCTGATTGGTCAGCCTTAAACGTGTCTATTCCAGTAGGACAGGACTGCAGCTCAAGGAGGACCATATGCAGTGAAAAGTGGGATGCCATTACAGCAGAAAGGGAAGGAAATGCATACATTCACTGCAGGGTGCCAGTAAGAAAGAGCATGAATTGAGTACTGGAAGTTACCAGTGATCCAGCTTGAAATTGATCCCACATGGTCTCAGGGCACGAGGCTAGCCCTGCGGTGCTATGAACACTGTCCGGCCTTCCCCTCCGTGTAGTATTTGCACCTCAGCTGCTTTATTGCTGTTTTGTTACATACACCCAATCAGAATGTATTTGCCCACCCATTCCTTTCTTATACACTGCTCCACCTGCCTAGATGGGACTAAAGGACAGAGTCCGTGGGGCAGGGCCCAGGCTGCCGCTCCTCTGCTCTTTGTGGGCACTGCTTCACCTGGCCAGATTCAGCAGGTGATCTCTCCTCACCTTAAAGGTATGGCTGCTGTGATGGTTCATCTTAATTGTCAACTTGATTTGCTTATGCCTCAGGAACTAGTAAAGCACACCCCTGGGGGTGTCTGTGAAGATGCTTCCAGAGATGTTTTAATCAAGAGAGCTCTGATCTACTGAATGGATTAATACCTTGATATAGTCATAATATGATGGTATTACTGGGAGGTGGGGCCTAGTTGGAAGAAGCAGGTCACTGGGGATGTGTCCTTGGGGGCTATATCTTGGCCTGGCTTCTTCCTGTATTCCATTTCCCTTTCTCTGCTTCTTAGCCACCAAGATATGAATTGCTTGTGCTCTGCCACACCCTCACCACATGATGGACTAAACTCTCTGAAACCATAAGCTAAAATAAATCCTTCCTCTCTTAAGTTGTTTCTATCAGATATTCTGTCACAGCAAGAGAAAAGTAACTGATACATTTACAATGGTTCCCTTCCCTCTGGGCATTTGTCTGTACTACCCTGTTGCTTGAATACCCTTCCCAGCATTCTCCACCAGGCTCAAAGTTACTTGTCTTTCAAAGCCAGCCCACTCTTCATCTCCTTCAGGAAACCTTTCCTGTGTGTGCAATTTGGTCTATGACCTTTGTACTCAATATACATTCTAAAACGAGATGTATTTCCTTATGATTATTTCCCCATCTCTTCCATTAGCTTCTGGGAAGCACTTAGCACAGGACCTTGTACTGAGTGGGCAACAGTTGTTGGACAGAGCTGCATTTTCCAACTGCAGCTAGTCCTGCACAGGATATGAAGCAGGAGCTTCCTGCACATGTGTGGAATAGTACTCGTGGGCTAATACCTGACGTCTGTCTCTTTACCTCTCTGATACCTCTCTAAGGACATATGTCCACTTACCCACACACTCTCCTTAGACTCTTGCTTTCCCATGGTATTCATCCAGGTACTCTGTGAAGGAAATGACAGCAAGGCATTAAAACGTATTTCTATTTCTTGCTTCCTTGCTTCCACAGTAATACCAATATCTTACTGTGCAAGGCCCTTTATGGTGGAACTACAACAGTCAGATCCCAAGCAAGACCAGATAGATTCTAGAAAACTGTCCCTCTGCTTTGTCCACCCCACTGCTTCCCAGAACAGGTTTTAGGAAGATGGATCTCTGGGGTTTAGCTTCCACCCCACTGGATGAGTCTCATTCTGGGTGGAGGGATACTGATGTGCTATGGTTCCTGGTGTAAGTCCCCACTGCTGTGCTCCGCCTTCCCTTTGCCTCCTAGGCTGCTTCACTCCTCACATTTATTGAGAGTAATGGCTAGAAGGCTGGCCACCCAACAGACATATACACATGGAACTGAAGCCAACTGGTGCCTTCATCCAGCAAAGCCACATCTGAAGGTACCTTTTCCAGTTGGGTAAGGGAAACTGGAAAAAGGCCTCTACTGTGGGTTTGCTAGTACCTACACATAACCACTTCTTACTCATAATAGGACAAGGTTGGCTTTCCTGCTGGTTTAGGTCCATGAGCCAGGACTGGGGACTTTTCCCTTTTTCACTGCATACTGTGGAGCATTAAATGAACTGAAGGATCCCTTAGGAGGGTCCCAGGTTGCCCTTCTGAGCTGGTCTGACTGACCTGTATGCCTAGTCATGGTCCTGTCTTAGTCTACAGGTCTGGGAGCAGGTCAGCCTTGTGACTCCTAGAGGCCTAGGTAGGCCTCAGAATGTGCTGTCCTAGAGCCCCCAAGTCCCCAAACTAATAGGCTGTAGGATATAGGGAAAAAAGATGGGCAGGTCCTGGTGCAAGTTCTGTCTCCTTCCCCTGTGCCTTCTCACGCACTCACACACACCCTGCTGAAACCTGATCCTGCAGCTGCCTCACATGCTGGAGCTCTGGCGGGGCTGGCCAGCTGGGGCCTGTCGGCTGGAGCCTGCCCCACCCTGCCCTGCTACCCACTAGGACAGGGCAAGCAGGTCAGGCATCATACACCCCTGCTAGTCTGACCAGTCATTCCACATCTTAAGGGCCAGGCCCCCTACTGACATGGTGTGAGTCTGTGCCCAGGCCATCTACAGAATTAACACACATGTACACACACCACCACCACCACCTTTACCATCACCCGCCCCTGCATTTCTGGTTATTTATTTATGGCCCTGGCTCAGCTTCCAAGCCTTCTGCAGGCACAAAGCCACCTCACAAGGCTGAACAAAGCACAACGGGAACACTAGAGGAAGAGTGTAAGTCTACCTGGGGGAATCCCAGGAAGGCTTTCCAGAGGAAGTAGCATTTAAATTTAGGAGAATAAAAATGGAATTTTCCAGGCAAATAGAGAGGAAAGAATGTCAAGGACTAGAACACAGAAATATGTTCCAGGCAGAAAAAAAACTGCATGAGGACCTGTGTGTTCAGGGAGCTACAAATAGTTCATGGCTAGGACAATAGGGTCTCAGGGGAGTAAAATCCAGATTGCATAAGATTGGGGAGTGAATAGGGGATGAAGAACAGAGAGAGAATATTCACTGCTTTCTCTAGAAGTTTTGCCACAAAGGGATATAGAGAGGTTGGTAGCTAAAGGGAATATATCGTCAGGTAAGTTTGTTGAACTTGCTTTCATGTGGAAGAGATCTGGGTTTGATTATACGCAAACCCTATCTCCATAACCAGGAAACCCTGCAGGAAGAGGAGGAGGTCAGGGCTCAACACAGTTGAAATGAGGGAACATTAGGGATCTTCACTGAATTCTTGCAGCTAAAATCAAGGATATAACGGGGTGCCAGTGGCTCATGCCTCTAATCCTAACTATTCAGGAGGCACAGATCAGGAGGCTAGTGGTTGGAAGCCTGCCCGGGAAAATATCACACAACTGTAACAACACAAAAAAGGGTTGGTGCAGTGGCTCAAGTGGTAGAGCACCTGCCTAGCAAGTGTGAGACCCTTAGTTTAAACCATAGCACTGCCAAAAATAAAAGGGTATAAAAAGAGAAAACTGGGGGAGACCATGCACATCACCTAAGGAAAGGTAAAGAGCCATAAAATAGTCCTAAAGCAGCTGCAGTCCTTTGATAGTCATATGGAAATAGATGAAATTGAATCCAATCTTTATACCAAGCAAGATGCATCACAGATTTAAATGTGAAAAATGAAAACATGAAAGTACTAGAAAAAAGTATTGATGAATTTTTTTTATAATCTGGAGATAAGGAAAACTTTCCTAAGACTCAAAAATCTAGACACAATAAGGAAAATAATTGATAAATTTGACTATATTTTAAAAAAGCATTTATAGCAAAAAAGGAAAAAAATAGCAAGAAAGAAAACAAACCATAAGACAAACAAGCTGGAGGAAATATGTGTAATTATATCTCAAAGGGCTTATACACTTAATACATAAAAACCTTCAAATAAAAGTGAAGCAAGAGACCAGTACCCTATAGAAAAAACAAACAAAGTTCACAGAAAACTGATAATGGCCCTTCCAATTGTCAACCTCATTTACGGTAAAAGAAATGCAGGTAGGCATCTGTAATCCCAGCAGTCAGGAGGCTGAGGCAGTCGGATCTGAAGCAACATAGCAAAACCCTATCTCCAAAAAAAAACAAGAGAAAGAAATACAAATTAAAAAAACAATGAGATATCATTCCTTTCCTAACAGACTGGCACAAAAGAAGTGTTTAACAATGTCCTGTTTTGATGAGGCTGTGGGGCACAGAACTTTCTTATATTGTTGGTGGTTATCACAGTGTGGAAGAATTATCACAATGAATCATCCCTGTGGAAGAAAATTTGGCAATACAGAGAAAAATTAACACATATACATTTTTATCCTTTTAAGTCAGCAAACCCACTTCCAGGAATCTCTTCCAAGGACATTGGCAAATAGAAAAGATATAGTGTGTAGTTATTCGTTGTAACCATGATTGGTGGAAACACCAGAAACAACCCAAGGGACTATCAAATAAAATATGGTGCATAACCATCGTGGGATATTGTCCGGTTTATAACTATTATGGAGTGGTCAACAGAGTATATTTTTTATGAAGAAAAACAAAAACTCAGCAGGCAAAAAAGTGTGTATAGTATGTTACCTTTTAGTGAATAGAGAATGGACTAGAATATATACCTATACACATATGTCATATTTATTTGTTTATATGAAAAAAAAAAGCTAGGCATGGTGTCATATACCTGCAGTCCCAACAACTGGGGAGATAAGAGAGCGAGACAGACAGAGAGGAAGAGGGAGAAAGACGGGAGGGAGAGAGAGAGAAAGAAGAAGCAGGAGAGGGAGGAGGAGGAAATATAAAAACTAATAAAATGACCTGGGCGCTGGTGGCTCACATCTGTAATCCTAGCTACTCAAGGAGGCAGAAATCAGGAGGATCATGGTACAAAGCCAGCCTGGGCAAATAGTTTACAAGTCCCCATCTCAAAAAATCCCATCACAAAAAAAAAAAAAAGAAAAAGCAGGGGGAGTGGCTTCTGGTGTAGACCCTGAGTTCAAGCTCCAGTACTGAAAAAAGAAAAAAAAAAAACTAATAAAATGAATACTAGTAACAGGAGATGGACACAATTGAAAACTAGACTTCTCTGAATACATTTTTGTTTTGTGAATTTAATACAGGAACTATAGAAAGCATCATAAAACAAAATTAAACTAAAAATGAAGGAAAAGCAGTCCCTAAAAAAGCAAACTGAAGCAAATCAACCTAACTATATATTATTGATTAGTTAACTCAGCAGAGAATTATTTCAAGTGGCAAAAGCAAAGTTTTCTTTGCTTATAGTGGGTTACAAAGGCTGTAATGCAAAAAGAACTGTAAAGAAAACTTAAGTTGTTTTTTAGTAATGATAGTATGACTCACAATGTTGGTATTATTATTCTGAAACTATCATACATATTTTCTATATGTATATGTTAGGATAAAGTGACTAAGTAAATGTGTTAATGTCACTAGAACAAGGATGTCAGCCTGAAAAAAAGGGATACATGGACTGATAGAGTGGCTCAAGTGGTAGAGCACCTGCCTAATAAGTGCGAGGCACGGGGCCCTAAATGCAAAAGGTCCTGAATTCAAACCCCAATACCATGAGAGAAAGAGAGAGAGAAGTATAAAATCAAAGGTCAGTAAACACAAATTATGTGCTATGTGAATTTTATCTCAACAAAGCTATTGAAAAGACAGTAAATACTTATCTTGTAAGCCTAAGTTTGAATTGAGAATATCAGTATAAGTACTTTTTTTCTTTAAAAAAAATTTATTTCCTAGTTTTGTCCACCTGAAGGGCCTGGAAACAATGACTGATCCATAGCAATATGAGCATCCCCAGCCACTCAGATGTGGTCTCTCAATACCATTTTCAGTTCCTTGGGAAAATGACTGATTCCAGGTGGCGGCATCAAATGGACCAGATAAGCTTAGACATCTTTTCATATGAGAAAGCCAGCACATTCATCAAAGATTACTAGGGTGTTTCCAAGAAATTCAGGAGCCAAGTTGAGAACGTTCCACCTAGCCAAAGACAGGATGTTCTGAGCATCAGAAAGAATGGTAATTATAACCTATCCAATGGATTGACATATATCAAATATGTTAAAAATGTATATATTCATAAAAGGAAGAAATAACCTCATTAATTACCTTTGGAGGGTACCAAGGAATCAGCACATTATCCTGAAAGTTGATAAGTACACGAAAAAAACTGAACATTTTTCTCATCTTTCATGTATGACCAGTACCAATTCTGGATAACCAGAGTTGATGAGAGAAAGTTTATAGAGGTTTTTGAAAGTTTAGACAAGTATTCTAGTATCTCCTAAAGAAAGAATGGGTCTAGGCAGTTTCTTCAGTGGTTGTAAGGCATTCTGTGTGAAGCTGCTGAAATGCTTGAACCCATTGCTCAATCTTTATACCACAGGGAAATACCTGTGCATTAGACAAGACTGTCTATTAAATCTTCTTGACAATAGATTGAGCCTGAATCTCATCAAGTCTTC